TAATATAAATGTACAGTGCACATTCTTAGGAAAAAAATTATGAATTTAAGAAATATATGACCCTTGCTCTTTGTGATTTCCTTGCCTTTTTTAAACCCTTTTCTTAAAGGACGTTTTTCCCTGTGAGAAGAAATTTTTTGACCACTTACACCCTTTGAGTTAAAAGAAAATCTTCCCTTTCTAAATCAAACCGATTTTAAACGTAGAGTGAAGTAAATTTTAACAATGCCGGATTTGTTTTAGAGATTTTTTTGCCTCCAGGATTTCGGCTCGTTACAGAATTAAATGATATTGTTCTTTCAACCCTTTGTTTGCTTTTTTTTCTTGTTCCCCTTTTCTTTGACGAATTCCAACGGTTGAATCGGCAAATACAACTGCGTGTCGGTTGTCTCGCCTGACGAAATAAACGCGAGAAACTGATAAAAGTTGTAAGGGCGTATTACATTCGGTTTTACTTTGTTAACTGAAAACGGACCGTAAACTTCCTGCCACAATGTTGGCCAGATAACGTAATGAGTGAGTTTTCCTTAACCGGGAAAATGGGAATGTGCGAGCGGGACGTTGAGTGGAAGAGGAAAAAAGCTAGGGAAATTGGACAAATCGTCCTGGCACGTCATTTCCGCTGGCTACATAAAAATCCACGATTTTCGCTTTCCTATAACGTTTCCTTTCAGAACCTTTTCACTGCTTTTGAACACACTTAATATGTAATAAATTACAAATATGATTTGGCATACTAATAAATCTGTATTTCTGTATTTTAACGTACAACAATTTTACAGAAAAGATAAATGATGGAGTGAGTGTGTTGTTCAATCTTTTTAAAAAGATAGTTCCTACTCACAGTAAGAGGGAACTATAAGTAAACGTGCTAAAAAGTAACGAAGTAAACTTACTGCGAGCAGGAACTATCTTTTTAAAAAGATTGTTCAACAATTTTTGCCTTTCTAACAATAAATTAATCATACGTCAAAAGTTTGTAGGTGGGTCCTACAAAACAAATTAAAAATAATATATGCTTAATCAAATAACATAAAATAAAGCGAATAAACATAATGTGTGAACATTTTAAAATGATAGTTACATAGTGTTTTCCCCATCATAACAACTTCTTTTTCTCCCTAATTATAAATTTACCACATTTCTTGTGTAACGATTTTGTAGGTGTATGTGTTTTTTTGTTATATCATCTTACTAACGCTGCTTACGTCATACCCAGGCTATCTTCGTAAATATTTTTTGTTACTTTTTTCCTTATTCTCTCATTCTTCCCCTCACTTATCTTATTTCGGTACTATACCTTTTATTATGTATGCGGCGTTTTGGCTTGTGTGTATTTGTTTTTGTTCAATTGATGGGTATATGGGACCGCGGTGGCCAAGCGATTAAGTCGTCATATGCATAGGAACTTTTTAATTAAAAATAATATGAAAAATAGTGTACGTAATTTATTCCGCGTCCAGCAACAAATAGTTGGAAGTTAAGCCCTTCTGTACGACGTTATGTAATTTTGGATTGATTTTTTCTATACTTTTCTTCTTTTATTGCTTTTTATCTCTCTCTCTCTCTCTCTCTCTCTCTCTCTCTCTCTCTCTCTCTCTCTCTCTCCCTCTCTCTTCCTCTCCCTCTCCCTCCCCCCTCTCTCTCTTCCTCTATTTATCTCCCTAAACGTTATCCTACTCATCTTTCTTTATCTATTTCTATCAACAATCACTCTCTCTCTCTCTCTCTCTCTCTCTCTCTCTCTCTTGTACTACTTCAAGAACCTTACTTTCTCTCTCTCTCTCTCTCTCTCTCTCTCTCTCTCTCTCACTCTCTCTCTCTCTCTCCCCCTCCCTCCCTCCCTCCCTCTGTCATTCCCTCTCCCCTCTGTCATTCTCTCTCTCCCTCTGTCATTCTCTCTCTCCCCCTTCCCCCTGTCATTCTCTCTCTCACTCACTCTTTTCTCTCTGTGTGTGTTATTTCATGGTTACAGAAACCCTGCAGCCAGAAGATTAATTGTTACGGTCGGCGGTACATATACTAAAACGTGTTGTGTGTGTGTATGTGTGTGTGTGCGTGCGTGCGTGCGTGCGTGTGTGTGTGTGTGTGTGTGTGTGTGTGCGTGTGTGTTTTGTCGTACAGCTAAATTGACAGACTTATCTTATTTTACTTTTGTTTTCTGTTACAACTGTCAGCTTAAATCATTTGGCAATGTACAAAGGAATAATGGCACACGTAAGCTTCCTAAAACTGTATGAAAATACATTAAAATAAATGATGAACGTTAAAATTTTATAAGGCATTCCTTTTCCAAGGTTTTACCCGACGAACCGTTTGTCCCGACATTTATAACTACGGTCTTAATTATTTACCGGTACAGAGTGTACGGTCGATAAATTGGAAACCGGACCTCGCCTGATTTTTTTTCCAGCCCCTCCTCGTTTACAATTTAATTATCCCACAAATTTTGCCAGAATGTTCGTTCAAAATCAGTCCGAATTATACTACTCCAGTGATTGGGGGGGGGGGGATTGCAAATCGAAAACGATTATATTCAAACGAATGTGGAGATTGTAAACATAAATTTTTACTGTCTGTATCTGTAGGTTGGCAGCTAGATAACGACTAATTTCCTTCTCTCGGTATAAGTTAATTAAAATATGTATTTTCCAACGATCTTTTAAGCTAAAATGACGTTACCTTGATGGATAAAGGATTACGTAATTTAAAATATCTATAATCAAAGCTAAATAATCATACTTAACCTTAAAAAAGTAGGATTACATGTTTTATGGCCCAATCCGTACTTTCAATCCATTAGAAAAAACCGAATATATTTTATTCTATAAGTGGCTCAAGAATTGATTAAATCATATTTCAATATTCCTAAAATTGCTATTTTCTTTTAAGATCCGAAAGTTCTCAATGATGTTGATGGAATCGTAAGGTCGTGATAGCCGTTCAGTCACATAAAGTGATTCTTCTGAAACCGGTTTTTTTGTCTATTAAACCAGGTGGTTTGTTAAACCCTGCTGACAAGATTATGCCCCCTTTACGTCATTGTATATTTAACGGATTGACGGATAGATATTTAAACGAAAACCACTTCTTCATGTTTCTAAATCTATTAATTATCGCCTGACCGTAAACTCGTTCATAATTACTCTTTGGATCTTAGAATCTTAGAAGTATTAAACCCAATCGTAATTACTGAACTATATTGGATCGGCCATGGAACTATTTTTCTCGACGATGTAAGGTGTTCCACTTTAAAATTTATAATTACTTTGAACTCACTCGCGTAGTAGATCATGTGACCAACATGTTCAACAACAAAAACCACACTGGGATGGTCCTCCTAGACAAGGAGGTCTTTGATTCAGTCTGGCAGGACGGTATAGTATACAGGCTCATTGAAATGAATTTCCCAGGATACCTTAAAAAAGTTGTCATGACCTACTTAAAAAACCGTTGTTTCCCTAAACAATGAAACTTCCAGACCTTTCCCAACTGCCGCCGGAGTTCCCCAAGGTTCAATCCTAGGGACATGCTTTTTATAAATCCACTCCCCTCACTGAGAAATTTCAAAATTGCGCTTTATACTGCAGATAGTCTATTGTTCATCCTGGAGGCCTAAGGCAATTGTGAAAAGATTAAATGACAGCATCACCAGGATTTGCAGGTTTTGTCACCGCTGAAAACTCAGGATTAATGTCCCCAAAACTGAGGCCGTATTTTTCACAAAACGACGACCAATATTCACGGAAACCATTTTCATTCACGGACATAAAATCGAGTGGTGTGAAGGGGTAAAGTACATGGGTTTAACTCTGGACCTAAAATTTAACTTCTCTAGGCATATAAATGTTATAGTTACGAAACGTAAAATAGCTATAAAAGCCTTATTTCCGCTAATGGCCCGTGAGAGTGGAATGAGCTTTGAAAATGAACTAATTATTTATAAAGTAGCTATTATTCTTATGCTGCTCTATGCTTGCCCAGCATGAGTTACACGTGCGAATCGAACATCCAAACACTGCAAGTGGTCCAAAATAAATTTCTAAGATTTATAACCTCACTACCTCGATACGCCAGAATTGGCCTCTTCCATGAGAGAACGGGATGGAGTATATTAAGTCCAAATTAAAGCGTCTGTCCAGGAATTTTTTTATGGGTCTTTCCTCCAGCAAGAACACTACTTGCAGGGATGTAGGAGTGTATGATGTAAACTTTCCATGTAAACATAGAAGGATTAGGCACAATACATAAATCTAGGATCTGTGATATATTTATTGTTTCCTCTACCAGTACTGTGATACTATAAGACAATTTGTGATAATTCAATTACTAGTGTTGCATTGTTCTTGTTAATCTCATTCATTTATTTATATTTTCGTTAACACATTTTTGTTCATTCATTTGTTGTATTTGATACCTAGTTGGTTTTTTAAGAAAATTTTTCCCACTATTTTCTTGTTTGATTAATTAAAAATAATGACAAACTACGACTAGGAGCGTTGATAGGAAAAAGTTTTGAAATAGGACGTAAAAGTGCCCCGCCACTTCCCCTGCTTGATGAATGTTATGTAACATAATCTACAAGATTTTTTTAATAAATGTTTATTCATTCATAATTACTTTGAATTTTATCCAAATTCAACAATATTACGACCGCTGGGACGAATATCACTTTTATCAGCTTATATCTACAACCTTTAGAACTATTTTATATTTAAAAAACGAGTTTGGAAGGTGAGAAATCCGATAGAATTCTTTTTTTATTTTCACAAATATTTGATTTCAGGGGTTTTTTTGTGGCGCAGAAAACAAATATTAACTTCGTTTCTACCTTTAAAAAAATTAACCTAATAGTTCGCCCACAAAATAATTATCTATTGTACTTCCATAACTCGAATTTGCTCGTCCGCAGATGGAGTCAAGTTTTTATGATTATTACATTATCTATAAAGCCCAAACTATAATTTAAATTGCAACAAGCCTATTGTTATTTTTTTCAGAAAACCTCCAATACCTCCGTTTGGGCGACAACAATATCCACGTGATCCCTAGCGACGCGTTGAGGAGGGTCCACAGGCTGCGACACCTAGACCTGAGGGCCAACAATATCACATACATCAGCGATGATGCTTTCGCAGGATTCGGCGATTCCATCACCTTCCTCAACTTGCAGAAAAACTCGTACGTAGAACTTCATAACACAAATGAACTTTTTTTGTATATAAATCATTTAAAATTTCATTTCTAATATTTTTTTAACCCGAACGCCTTTTGCCTACAGGATTAAAACTCTCCCATCTCTTGGGTTCGACAACCTCAACTCCCTGGAGACGCTAAACCTACAGAACAACAAGTTAGTTCACATCCCAGAGGAAATCATGGAACCGATAGTAGATACTCTTAGAGTTGTTGACATAATGGGTGAGTCGAAATAACGTTTTGACCTTAATATTCTCAGAATAAACTTCCTACATATCGAGAATGAGGACGAACTGAAAGAATCGCCCTGGAAGTAAATTGGTTGAAAAAAAATTCCCATTTGTAGCCCCACTTCATGAAAAATCCAATATAAAAGACTGATCAATGAAATTTAACAAAATTTTAAAGTAAATACCTTAAAGATTTTAGTAAAAGTATTCATAAATACCAATGATTGTCTTACACTTATGAATTAAATACATAGCAGTATTTTAAAAAAACTTTCATAGAGATTAAATCTAACTAATTCACTATTTTTCGTGGTCCGCTTGACCAATTAATACAATTCAATTAATTAAGTTTAATTTTATCTCAACCAAAAGCTTTAATTAATTGAATTAAATCTAACCTGACTGAAGCTGAGTGTGTATGAAAAAAAATTTATATGAAAAAATATGGCATCTTGCACATTTTTCTTGTTCAAATGATGCAGGTAAACTTACAATGTAATGCATAATTTGATGATTGCCGATAGAGAAAAAGAAAAACAACCAAGTAAATGTAATTCAGCATTGTTATAAGTTGTGAACTCATGTCAAATCATTCAATGAAAATAATATAGAGTAAATATATACTACTCGACATAGCTTGGAAGTTAACATAGCAAAACGTTTTGGCAGGTGTGCATTCGATTTTATTTTAAAAATCATGGATAAGGCCAATTTAAAAGAAAACATTCAGTTGCATCATCAAGCTTTCAGGGAATATTATATCCCCTTCATCAGGGCATTTAAAGTATTATTTTGACATTTATATTGGTGTATACTTATCAGGCTAATAGTGTATTAATAGTAAAACTATAATTCCCTTAAAAAAGTTAAAAATATAAACTAAACATATCTCACTTTGCCTTCGCATACATGCCAATGAAATGTTGTTTTCTATGTTAAACTTAATTTTTAAATTCACTAGGTTTCGTGGTCCAATTTACCAATTAATATCGTTCAATTAATTAAGTTTTTTAGTTGAGATAAAAAAGTAATTAAAGAAAATTTTCATATAATATTGGGAGTATGGACATTGATAAAAATATGCTAACATAACTCAAAGCTTTTTCTAGTGTATACACTAAAAGAAAGAAGAATACTAAAAGAAACTACCGAAAGCCATATTATTAAAACAAAATGAGTTTTCAAACTTGGATTTTATTTAAAAATTATAGAATAAATAAAAAGTGAAGAAGAATCCAGACACCAGCATAAAACTTTGTAATAATTAATGTAGTAATAATTTAAAAGGTATTATTAACGTAATATTCATGTATACTGCAATAAATTCTTGATAAAGTGAATATTGGATTTAACATTTGTATTTTGACAAAGAAGAAACAAAATTAAAACCATCAACAATACATGTTTAAATTATAAAATATTTCATACATTTAACAGATGGTATACTCTGAGAGAGAACTAATTAATTAATTTAATCACTCAAACCTTCATACACTAAATTATATGAAAATGAATAGAGGCGTATAACCTACACCTATAGATCTTACTATCACGATCCAACCCACTGATGCCAAACAATCAATAAAGAATACAGTAAAGAAAGGATGGCAGAGTGCGCCAGGTCATCTGAGAAGCTCTTGTACATAAAGATCACTGTTCCAGAAAGCCTAAATCTTAGGATCCTAAACCAAATAATAGGCCATACACGGTTTACACAAGAAAACTTAGTTTTGGGCCAAAGCCCACAAAGTCCGGCATGAAGAGAAAAGCGGCTTAATGTGTCACACTTATCTGAAGTGTGTCGTTCTTTGTCTCCATATAGAGTAAGAATGAATGTCACCTGGTAGGAGAATTAAGGTTGAGTATGATAGCAAATCTTTGGGTCCCCTGTTCTATTTTTGGGGGAAACAGGATGGAGGGTTTTTTATTTTTTTTATTGTGTATTTGTCTTATATATATGTTTTTTTTTTATTGTAACTAATTTTGTTATTGTACGCATAAAAAGTTGTGAGAGATAAATTTTATGTTAACTTTTTCATGAGAATGTATTTATAAGCGTGAATGTGTACTACAAGAGTATCAAAGGTGGGAGGTTCGATCCTCGATTAGATTAGTCAGTATACGTGTAAAAGGTGATAGAAGAATATTATCCATATACTCCATAGGAATATTATACTCCATCTTGCTACTTATGTAAATGGTATGTAAATAATAAAGAATGTATTTACGAATGATAAAGAAGTCAATGTAAACATACAAGTCCGAAAAATAGGCCACACACGGTTGACATGCTTATTTTTGGGCCAAGCTCACAAAGTCCAGCATGCAGAGAAAGGTAGCTCAATTTACCCCCCCCCCCAATCTAAAGTTATCATTCTAACAGTTTTAATCTTACATTTGGGGTTGAAATGATCTTGGCAATAGCCCTTTGAAGTATAGGGTTGTGATATGGATAAGACCAAGTCTGACCACCAAAACACTGAAGTGGGTCGTCACAGGTTATGCACATATTATGTGCATGTATGTGCATGTAAATATTAAAAAACTATAAAAAATAATTGGTTAGTTTATTGTTCTTATTCATCATATTAGTTTTATTATAGTTTCAATAAAAAATAATAATCCACATATTTTTGTCAGAATAATTCAAATTATGGCTTCGAACTTTAATTATTAGTTAAACTGTCTGTTTGCTTAGGTCAAGATATTTTTTCAAATTCTTTTATTGTTTACAGATAACCCGCTTGTTTGCGACTGTGAGCTACGCTGGTACCGGGACTGGCTTAAGAACCTAAAGGACAAAGACGATGAGATGATGCAGAAAAAGAGGACAGTCTGCACGATGGTACAGGAACACAGGGAATACCCAGTTCAAAACATGCCACTCGACAAGATGAATTGCGTGGGTAAAAACATGGAGAGGATTTCCAATTCTCTAGGTGTTAAGCTGCAAATGACATTTTTTGTACTTGCAACACCAGCCTTCGTGATATACCACTGAACCTTCCTCAGAATCACATCAAAATGCAAAGCAACATTTTTTTTTTTAATTGATGGTACTGTAGGCGATAGTAACTGTAAAAAACATTGTGTGATAGCACCATAACTCAACTTTTTATTTAGAATTTTTTTAAAATCATGTAGCTAATTGGAATTTAGAAAAAGCAAACTTTTGCTGTATATGTTAAAAAAATTAATCCATAAGGGATTTTTTCATTTATAGTTTGTTTTTATAATTTAAACATTTTCAAAATGCATTTAAAAATGAAGCAAGGATTCTAAGATTGTTTCTAAATCAAGGGGGAGCCCAGTAATTCAAACATATCTTAATGCCTGTGAAATATTATAAAAATTTAATCGAACATATCATGCTAAGCTTAAAAAACATATCAGCTGTTGCCTGAAAATCCAAATCAATTTTTCAGGTTTTTCTTGCCTAATGTTAGCTTTTATATAAACATTTAAATTTATATAATTAATTTCTTTTGTTTTCGTTTTAATATAGTTAAAAAATATCTACTTCACATTTTGATGTAAACCGTTTGTATATAATTATACTAAAGTGTACTTTGAAGTTAAATATTGATGTCGCACCCTTATATATTTAATTTGAAACTCTTTAGAAGACAAAAACATGTAGGACCTCATTTTAGTTTTATTTACGCTGTTATCAACCTGAATTAGAACGTAAAATTTATGTTCCTTGTTGAAAATTTGTAAGAATAACATCAGTTAAACTTGATTATTTTTAACAAATAAATTTTTTATATTTAGCTTTGAAAGCAATAATTAATGAGAAATTTAAAAAAAATTTTAAAGTGTAAAAAAAATCATATACATATCAGTAAGTGAACTGTTAAATAAGCATATCACCTGTGTTTATAGCATTTTGCTTTTTTTATAAAATAAAGATGGTTGTATAAATTTTTAAAGATTATCTTTGTGGGAAAATAATGTGTTAAGTTTAGCGAGTAAGTAGCCAAACGGCGAACCAAACCATTCACGATACATATCTTTTGCTGCTGTGTCGCTCTTAGCTAGCTGTCTCCCCGCGGTTGTCATTTAGAAAGAACAAAACATTTAAAGACAAGAGATAAAATCTATCTCGATATTTTTTTATGTGTCAGTGCCGTTATCTAGGATGGCCGGAGGGAGGGTTCAGGGAGCTCAGCAGCAAACCTTAATTGTAAAATTTGTCCTGTCGAAAAAAAAAATCGTTTGTATTGAATTTATTGAACTTTTGACAAGATGTAGATGTGATAAATCCATGTGTGCATGGTGTAACTTAACATACATATCTTTCTAAACATATCCTGGGAGAATACATATATGGAAAAAATTCTATATTTTAAGTGTTTTGATTTTGTGTAAATTTATTAAATATATAATAGCCATGTTGTTTATGTCGTATTTAAAGATTATATAAATATTGTCTTTTAATATTATTTGAAAGCAATGAAATCTTCAAATTTTTGGATGTAAGAGAAACCCAAAAACAAAAAAATAAAAGAGCATTATATATGAACGTTTAAAACATTAATTATATTAAATTAAATATTAATGGATTGTAACATCTAATGAGTTAAATTTAATAAAACAGTGTATATTATGTGTCAAATATAAATCTTTTACCTATCCCTCAAATGAGAAAATTGTTGGCTATTTGATCATCTTGGATCATCTACATATACATTATTACATCAGGGATTATCAAATCAGAAAACTGTTCTCAAATTCATCATCAGCGTAGATCAACCATAAAATAAGTTACAATTAAATTATGTTGATTTCAATTTCATCACAACAGATCAAATCAGACCTTTTAAGGCCTTCAATCAACCGAGTTTCTTAATTAAAATTTTCATATTTAATTATTGGAAACTCGTCTTGGATTTTTTCTTGAGTGTTATACTAAGATATTAGATCTATGTTCAATTTATTGAAAGAATTTTCAGAATTTTACATTGGAAAATGCAAGGTAATAATCCAATTAATATTAATAAGTTTCGCTTATGAAAATAAGCCTATTTCATTTTTCTTTAAAAAATACATTGATATAATTTTGTATGTTTTTTAAACTACAAGAACAGAATTTAATTTTTATTTTTGGTTTGCTAACAGAAAAAATAGTACGATAAGGCTTACATGTTTTTTTAAAAATTAAGGACATAATCATATGGTTTCTAGTGGTTTAATAATAATTATCATATGATCAGGTAAACTTCATTGAATAGAATAATTTATATGACTCCAAGGCCTAAAATATTAAGATCGACATTTCAATTATTATTACTGTAATAATCAATCTTATTCTGTAAATCTCCAGTTCTTTTTTTTAATCTAAAGTATAACTTTTAAAGATTTATCTTACCTTTAGTCCAAACAGTGTGCTTTGTTGAAGCAGGCTTATTCTTACACTTGTTACTTCCAGTGCATTCGTCATCTTCAGAACTAGAATTTTAAACCAAAACATTTTGAACGTTGTCGTGATATGAGAAATTAACAATTTACCTGATGTTGTACAGAAGTATCTGTTCTTCTAAGTGGTACCCATTCGGGGCAAAGGTCTTGCTTTCCAAAGGGTTAAATTGTACGGAATAACTTTGAAACAAATAGAGGTCAGTGTTTTCATCTCGTTTTTTGTTCTGGGTAAAATAAGATTGTCTTAAAGGGACACTTGTAAGAACAAAAGTGATAGTTAATTCAGTGATTTGTCCCGGCACTACTTTAAAATCGTAGTTGACTTTAACAATTACATTTTCACAAAACCCTGTTGTTTTGTTGTAAAATGCCATTTCACTCCTTTCATTACAAACAGGCTGAATTTTATCAACCATATCATAATTATATTCCAAATTCTTTGATTGTATATAAGCCGTTCCATTGCTGAGGCAAGATGTTTTAACAGTGATTTTAACAGGATTTCTCGAAGGACCGCTCAACAGATGTAAAATAGACAGACGTCCTTTTAAAAAAATGTGCATATTCAGTTTCAAGTTAGTACCACAGCTTTCTTCTCTGATCGGAACCAAACATTTAGAGATTTTGTTCACAAAATATCTAATTGGTACTGAATCCGAGCAGTAGCCTTTTCCAAGGATATCTCCAGGCATGAAAAAGACCTCAGAAGAAGCTGTTTCTTTATTTAAAATAAGGATAGGCATCCCATACTTATAATTCAAATCTAATTCTTCCATTATCACTTTTTTTTTTAAACTTCTATCTACTGGCTGTCTTTCTTTAATAATCTGGTCGACTTCTATTCTAGCAAGTTTGACACTGTCCTCTATAAAAAAATCTCCAAGATATGGGCTATTTTCAAGTTCATAGCAGAAAATAGGGTTTACGGGATACAAATCAGGAGGGAGTTTGGTATAACAGTAATTAGAATCAAAAATAAAAGGGTCCATATTGTCTTGGACAACGACATCCTGACAATAAAACATGCCAACATCACTTGAACTGCAATCCTGTAAAAAAATAAAATTACATTGTTATAGAAAGAATATATATACAAATAATCAACATTAATTCTTAAAATATTGTGTGGCAAAAAAGATAAAAATTGCTGATGCATGTTTAATTTTATGTTCATGATTATTCAAAATGAACAGAAAGTAATGTTCTAAAAGCATAATAATATAAACTTTAAAAGTTTCAATATACCCAACAACAAAAATGTCAATTGAATAGCCTATATTTATTTTATAAATTGCTAAAATTCCTTATAAAAACTCATCTGCAATTAGTGAATAAGTCAATAAATATATTTTGAACAATATGTTCATAACATCTGACGTCAATTAACCATGCCATCAAAACCTAAGTTTCCTTCATTCATTACTTCGTATTTCATAGCCCTTATGAGCATCTGAACAGTATGGATAATTTTTCCCCTCAAATTTTCACAGAGAGAAAATAAAAAGTCACACGAACGGATATTCATTCTGATTTTTTTTCTCAAGTAAGACTTGTTTCTACAGCTTTTTAATTATTTCAAAACTTGTTTTATTTCATATTGTTTATTTATTTTTGAAATATGACATATAAGTTTATGGGTAACGTGTAATTTGATATTGAAAATATCTTTATCCAACTATAAAATCCTTTATTTTGGTTCTGATCAATTCCATCTGCCAGCAAATATTGCTTCTTCTAATTTCTCGGTAAACTAAATAATACCATAACATCCATAAGGATAATAGGTATGATTTTGTATATATAATTAAATAATATTTTATAGCATTTTGATTACTTAGTAAAAATCATTCCATAATCACGTTTTTATCCTTACTCATACCACAACTTCACTCCTGATCATGTTCCTTGATAAAAAATGGCAAACTAAGAAAAAGGGAGAATTTATATGTACAGTTCTTTTAACATTTTCATCTAATTGGTTGGAGTAGGAAACTTGGTCTGATCACATTTATTGACAATTTGATGAAAAAATATATCAAAAATTGACCAAAAGTGATAATTTTTCATTCCAAAAAAATGCACATTAGATTAACTTTTTATAGGAAGTGTATCAAAAGGGACATTTGACACATAAAAGAGGATGGTTATTCAACATAGACATCCTACCGTTGTGTATGTGTGTGCATGCATGTGCGCATCTGTGTGTCATAAAGTTTATAAATTAGTCCATAAGGTTTTTTTTTTTTTTTTGTAATGTTCTAGGCAAAATAAATATTAAAAGGTTTGCATAAAAAACTAGATTTTTATTTTTACTATTTGCCCAAGAAATGGATTCTGGCCCGTGTAAAGTTGGTGAGATGTTTAATGAAAAAATATTTAAACCACAAGAAGAAGAAATAATGGATACAAATTGTGATAATTCAAAAATAAGTACGTTTTGTCTAGTACTTAATTTAACATTAATTACAGGGAAACAATTTTTTTTTTTTTTTAGATAAATTCAAAACTGATTTGGACATAAGTAAATTTGATGGAAAGATGGTTGCAGAGAAGGAACTAGTTCCTTGGGATGATTCATCATCAGGAAAAACTGATGTCATACTTGACGGAACAGTAATTTTCTTAGTCATTTTTATTTCTGTACTTCAATCCAGGTTTTTATCAATTTTTATTCAGCAGAAGGGTTGGAATGCGAATGAAATGTTCAGGTGGAATGAGAAGATGTATGGTGTTAAGTCGGATTTTGATCCAGAACTCTCCTTATATACACTCCCCCTGCCAAAAAAAGATTCTAAAGACTACAGGTATGATGATCGCGTTTATCTGTACAGTGTTAAATAGAATTGATAAATTACAGAGAAGCTGAGGCGAAAGCAGAAAAAATAGCGAATGAGATTGAAAAAAACCAAAATTATAAAGCCAGGATCGAACTAGAAAACAACGACGAAGAAATGAATTCTGAATCAAATTCTTTGTCAAATGACAAAAACAGTGAACGACCCAAGCCACAGAGGAATTTCAGTTGTTCTCTAGGTAACTTTTTTTTTTAACTCGTCATGATTCACAGCTAAAAATGAATTTTTAGGTAAAAAAGGAGACTCACAGTTGCCCAACATAGCAACTGGATACTCAGACAAGCCTTCAGGACCACAAGGAGATTCTGCTTATCAAATAGAGCCTGCAGGCACCAAAATGAATTTGCAAGATGAAAAAGCAATCAAATCAACACTCAATCCCAATGCCAAAGAATTCATTTTCAGGCCTAAGCCCAACCCGGTGGTAAATATATATTTTTTTATAAAGCCAGACAAACAGATGTAAAACTGAATAGACAGATAAATCCATTGATAAATGTGATAATCAAGTTAGACATAGAATAAGAAGGAATTCAGATAGGTTAGATATGTAGAAAGATAGATTGGGAGAAAATCAAGTGCTGATTAATTAAATGAGACAATAGTCACTTTTGCCAAGCTTGCAATTGACCAATATATTGTCAATATTTGTTAAATAATTTAGCGATTAAACCTAATATTTCAGCCAAGTCCTGTGTACAGTGTACCGAAGTACTGGCCCCACCATCCGCAATTGATTGGTTACAGCCCAATACCAGTGCCAGTTCACCCTGTGATGTTTGTACCATCCCAGCCATACTACCAGGTCCCATATCAAATGAATAGATATTGGAAAGGTATATATTTAAACATTTACTCCCAGAAATTATTGTGTTATCATTTCATTTTGTTTTTCTTTAGATTCTTAGACAAACTGGAGCATCCTTGATTGGAAAAATTTACTTCAAGATATATCTAGCTATTTTTAGCTTATATAATGCTTTAGATCCAAGCGTTATCATAATCCTTATTAAACAATAATAAATGTGTCAGTTTGATGATTAAAACATTTTGAAATAAAATGTATTGTTTAAAAATTTAATCATGATAATTTTTTTAAATGAAGGTTTTATTATTCATAGTTGATAATTACACTTGTGTTTTTAAGCTAACTTTACTAAGTTTTTCATATTGTTTTTCTTTTATCTAATTTTCTATTATCATGTGTCAAATTTTAATTATACTTTGATGCATTTGTTCAAACATACATTCTTCTGCTAGTTATTGTTTTTATATTATACTGAGCTGTTTTTCAAGAATTAAAAATAATATCATGGGTTTCAATATGAATGGTAAGAAAACAACTGTTATATTCTTCACAAAAAGGAGGAAGGTAAACTTAAAAGCACCTGCTCAAAAAATAAAGCCATAACCTTCTCCAAAGAAATTAAGTTCCTAGGTATAATCCTTGACCCAAGACTTAAGTGGAGAAGTCATGTAGGCCTAAGCATTGGCCAGAGCAGATGCAGCAAAAATTATGAGAATAAACCCCAGGATGATGTTTTGGTTTAACAGTCAGATGAGGGGCCTAGTTTGGATGGCCAAAACCATTAGATAAGGCGATGCAAAACCAACTGTAGAGACTACAAAGATTTGTCTTACCACAACAGGGGCAATTCTTGTCCCAAATTTACATTGAATACCACACTCGATTTCTCACCCTTACACATTTATGTACAAAAGGAGGCTATCAAAAGTGCCAACAAACTCCAGAGTATAGAAATACAAGATCTAACAAGAAACAAAATTTTAGAGAGAATTAAAATAAATGAGGTTGCTATAATGGTACGTAATAAGATGAGTGGAAAGATGAACTTTGACTAGCCCTTGGAAATCAAAGTTAACAAGATATCTTTGGAATAAAGGCAACCTTGTTTCAAAAAGAGACCCTAATATGGTGGTCACATTTGATATAGAAATTGTAATAATAAAATTTGTATAGAATTGAATGTAAACCTACACATCATCTATTTAGTTCCCATATATTACATAGACAAGGAATTAGTAGTTTTGGCAAAGCTTTTTTTTTTTCTTTACGCGATTGTGGAGTTTCCAAAAGCACTCCTCATGAAAATTTGCTAAGGATGAGATAGGTGGCATCTCAAAAATGTTCTAAATAAATTGTTTTAAACCACCTTTAAAAAAAGTTTTGTAAATTAAGATGTCAAAATTTACACATCTGGCACAAATCTTGACTTGGAGCTGGCTACTCCAAGCACTTAATTTCAGCCTCATTCAGGTAGTCATCCACAATATGTGCTTTAAGGGGCCTGGTATTATCCTGCATTAGCAAGAATCCCTCACTGATTTGGGGTGCAAATGGCACTACATGTTCTTCAATTATATCTTGTAAAAGTACCTCTGTGAATTTAGAGATCTTCCTCACACAACAACCAATTTGGTGCAAGCACCCAAAGAAATGCCTCTCCAACTCATCAATGATCCAACATGAATGCCACCTGAGCAACCATACAGCATGGGGAGTACCTTTCACCTGAGCAACTCTATACGAAATCATGCCCTTCTGAAGATTTGAGGCCAGCTCTCATCTTATCTGTAACGAGTACTCATCCCTAAACTCCATGTCTAATTCACACGTTTCCAAGTGAATTGAAGCATGGCCGTTTTTTGAGCTGTAGTATGAAGAGGTCCACAAGACAGGTGCCGGGCCCTGAGATTATTTTCATTAAGCCTTTTTCTTACAATCCTGGAGGAAATCAAAACATTTCAGACTTGTCTTATCAGATAATTTTCCATCCTGCTGCTGTTCTGTACAGCGTAAAGATGTATGAATCTATTGTCTCTCGTTTGTAGACCTAGGTTGACCCTGTTCTGGCCTTCTAGTGGCCCTGTTTCTCTGAAGCACCAAAAATCCCTTCCTATTGTACAGCGATTTACACTCAGTCTCCTGATGACTAAGCGCTGGCTATACCCTTCCTCTAATAACGTTATGACCCTGACACTGTCGTACTCACTCAAATGCCCGACTGGAACCATTGGAGAAAAAAAAACATATAAAAATAAGAATAATATCAAATGAAATCAATAAATGAAAAAGATTAACTGAAAGCGATCATTCGGTGTAGCACAATGGAAGGGCACAATGCTACTTTCTGTGCAAATGGAGAGTACTTCAGTACAAAAGTTAACAAAGCATTATTTACTGTTTATTTTGTCTACTACAGTCCTAATTACCTGTAACTATTGTAGAAAGACAATAGATTTAATTTTAAGCTAAATAAATTGAGTGTCCATTGAATTTTTCATCTATGTTTAGCATTCCAAGTATGATTGGAATCTATCTATTTGATTCATCCACCAATTGAAAATCCTCTCATCACATGAATATTGGGTGGTAGTGTCCATTACTGTTGGTTTTTTGAATATTTCTACTTCAATTAGACTATTTTTATTATAGACTATTTTAATTCTAAAAAGTTCAAACAATCAGTTCTTTTTGAGAGTACAACTATCCTTTTAATTGTTGAACTGATATACTGATTACATCATAATATTTTTTACTATAAATAAATAATCTACAAAAATAAAAACTTTTTATATTCATATTACTTGTAATTTTTTAATGTTGAGTTCTTTATTTTGTAAACAGATTTTGCTTTGTTTTGTTATAGGAAGGTTAATTATTACGAATTGTTTTTTAAAAATCCTTCCTTCTTTAGAAAGCACTTAACCCCCCCCCCCATAAAAAAAAATTTATTTGTATCAGGGGTATTTTTCTTGTACCTTGTCGCTACAGCAGTTTATGTCGCAAGAATTGGCCGTGAGGTCGCAGGACGAAAGATGGCTCCGGTTGAAGACATCCTTCAGCGCGCTCGCGAACGTCTCCTTGTCTTTTGTCGGAAGAAAACGCCAAGGGAAAACCCCAGAGATTATACCAACGAGGATAAAAACTAAAACAAAACCATTACCGCAATGTTGTGTAGTTAAAAAAATAAAATAAAATTGACAAAGATGCGGCCGTCATTAGCGAAAGACGTGACTTACGGAAGAGGTGGGCGGTGCTCGAAATCATTGATGATGCTTTTAAATTAACCAAAGGGATAATAACTACCCGCTGGGTATAACCATAGTATTCTACACTGGTTAGTTTATAAAATAATCAATAAGGCGAGGGTGGAAAACACCTGCCAAACCTTGTATACCGGAACGGCAGACGGACAGGCGCCCTTGTAACTATGGACAACTATAAAAATCACCCATTGATGAATTATGAGGGGTTCATGGTCTTGGTCAATTATTGATGATGTTTCAATTATGCAAATTCCTTATACCAAGCTATAATGCTTAGAGCTACTTAACCCCTTAACCTTTAAAAAAAAAGACGCTAAAAGTTAGATTTGTATATTTTGTATTGTGTATTTTCGTGACTTTTACTGTTACATACAATATTATTAATTTTAATCGATTTCTTTGAACTTTAAAACGATTTTGTAAAGAAAGGCTTAAATGTGTTATTTTATTCATTTATCTGTTTTCAACACAGGTGTAAACAAATGACTGCTTCATTTATTTATTTATTGTTACATGTAAACGGCGTAAATGCCGATCAACACACAACATATTATAAGTACAATTAAAAGTGTATAAAATGTATAAATAAAATCCTTGTAAATAAGTTACAATTGATACTTAGATATGGTAGCCATATTACACAATATCATACCCAGCGGTTAGTTATTAACCCTTTTGTTAATTTAAAAGCGACATCTTCAATTATTTTAGGCACCGCCCACCTCTCCGTAAATCACGTCTTTTGCTAATGACGGTCACAGCTTAGTCAATTTTTTTAATTTTATTTATCTATTTTAATTGTACAACATTGCGATATGGTTTTGTTTTAGTTTTTATCCTCGTTGGCATAATCTCTGGGGTTTTCCCTTGGCGTTTTCTTCCGACAAATGACAAGGCCAATTCTTGTGACATTGCTGCAGCGAAAATAGGAAATAGGAAAAATCTCCTGCCACAAATTGGATTTTTTTTATTTTATTTATTTATTTTTTTTATTTTATTTATTTTTTTTTTGGAGGGTTTTGCTTTCTAAGGAAGGATGGATTTTTAAAAAACAATTTGTGATAATTAACCTTCCTATAACAAAACAGAGCAAAATAAAGAGTTCAACATAAAAAGAATTACAAGTAATTTGGAAGATTATAGATTTATAATAAAAAATGTTACATGGAATTAGTATATAAATTCAGCAGTTAAAAGGATAGTTCTAAGCACAAACAGAACTGATTGTTTAAACTTTTTAGTTTTTTTCAATTGATGGACGAGTCGGATAGATTCCCACCATACTTGCAATGCTAAACACGGATGGAGAAATTTAAAACATCACTCAATTTTTTTAGTTTAAAATGAAATCCATTATCTTTCTACAGTAGGTGCAGGTAATTAGGACCTGTAGTGGTCAAAATAAACAGTGCTTTGTTAACTTACTGTACTGCTACGCCGAATGATCGATTTAAGTTAATCTTTTTCCTTTATTGATTTCATTTGATATTCTTATTTTTACACGTTTTTTCAATGGCTACAGTCAGGCATTTGAGTGAGTACAACAGTGTCAGGGTCATTACATTATTAGAGGAAGGGTACAGTCAGTGCTTAGTCATCAGGAGGTTGAGTGTAAATCACTCTACAATAGGAAGGGATTTTTGGTTCTTCAGAGAAACAGGGCTTCACACTAGAAGGCCAGAACAGGGTCAACCTAGGTCTACAAACAAGAGAAACAATAGATTCATTCATCTTTAGACTCTACAGAACCTTAGCAGTATGGAAAATTATCTGATAAGACAAGTCCAATATGTTTTCATTTCCTCCAGGAAAAAGGCTTAATGAAAATAATGTCAGGGCACGGCATGGCTTGTGGACCTCTTCTTACCACAGCTCACATTATGGCCAGGCTTCAATTCGCCCAGAAACATGGGAATTGGACATAGGAAGATTAGGGACAAGTTCTCTTTACAGATAAGGTGCGAGTTGGCCTCAAATGTTCAGTAGGCCATGATTTCATATAGAGTCACTCAAGAGAAAGATACACCCCATGCTGTATGGTTCCTCAGGTGGCATTTATGTTAAGTCAATGATGTTCTAGAAAGGCTTTTCTCTGGGCGCTCGCACCAAATTGGTTGTTGTACGAGGAAGATCTCTAACTTCACTTACAAGACATAATCAAAGAACATGTAGTGCCATTTGCACCCCACATCGGTGAGGAATTCTTGCTAATGCAGAATAATGCCAGGCCCCGTAGAGCACATATGGATTACTACCTCATCAAGGTCGGAATTGAGTGCTTGGTGTGGCCAGCTCAAAGTCAAGATTTGACCCCAATTGAACACATTTTGGACCAACTTAAGAGGCGAGTTACAATGGCGAAACCCAGGTCACGCCTTAGAAGAGTTGCAAAAAGTATTCTTGATGAATGGGAAAGAATTCTCAGGATTTTACCAGAAATCTGGAAGGAATGGAAAGGCATTTAATGTATGTGATTCATGCCAAAGTTGGAAATACTCTGTATTAAAGGGGACAAAAAGTTTTTTTACATTTTTTTAATTAATTAATTTTTATTATTTTCTTTACTCAATTTTTTTTAAATAACTAAAATTTATGGGTGGTGTGTTAATGTTGTCCGTACACTTACATATTACATATATATTACACATATACATTATATTATATATATAAATGTGCGTTTAACTTGGTATGAAAGAAAGTTTCCTTTTTTGACAATTTCCAGGACATGTTTACTCCACTTTAGAACTTCTGATATTGTGATCCCCAAGTCTTTTTGAAATGATATATACACCAAAGAACTACCATCAAGTTTATAGGTTAAATAAAGGGTTTTAGCGCCGAGATTGCCTACAAAGTTGCGACCAGTCAAAATCCCTATCAATGCTCATTTGCAATTAATGAGTGCAGGCGAGGGATTATCAAAGGTTGAATGTCAATAAAGTCTTTAGTTCCAATTAGTTATTAGTTTATTTGGAAACTTAGATTGTAAGCATTTTCAGCCCTTATCATAATCTTATATTTTACATTTAATGAATTGAATGAAATAATTACACTTAATGAAAACAAAATAGTTAACATGATGTATTCTGTTTTTTGTTGTTATATACAGAAATATTGTATATAATAATTTAAAAAAGTACATCCTCATGTTAACTGGTTTCTTTTCTTTTTGTTAAATGTAATTATTTCATTCAGTTTATTAGATGTAAAGTATAAGATTAGGCTAAGGTTGAAGATGCTTACAATCCAAGTGAAAACTTTCCAAATAAAACATTTTCTTTGTCGTGCCAACGTTTTGACCTTTATTGAGATCATCTTCAGCGCCTGGGATTTATTGTTTAAATTTAACAAAAACATGTAGAATGTGGAAAAAAGTTAATTTATACAATGCAAATAAATATTTTTTATGTTCAATCGATGTATTTCTACTCACTCAAAATTTTCTGTGTAAGAATATACAATACAATACGCAGAAAACAAAAACTTTGAGTGAGTAGAAATACATTGATTGAATGTAAAAAAATATTTATTTGCATTGTATAAATTCACTCTTTTCCACATCCTACATGTTTTTGTTAAATTTAAACAATGTTTGTAAATCACAGGCCCTGAAGATGATCTCAGTAAAGATCGAAACATTGACACGATAAAGAAAATGTTTTTCTTAAACCTACATCACACCAGACCGCATCCCACGATTTCTGAATAATCGTCGACAAACGGTCACAAATCACGACACATTTCCAAATAAACTAATAAACAGTTGGAACTGAAGGTTTTGTTCACATCGATAATGTTGTTCTACCACAAAAGTACTTTTGCAAATATCTCGGTATCATCTGCAAAAGTACTGATTTCAAAGAGAATTTTGTCATTTATATCCCCAATATAAAAAATTAACAGAATTGGACTCAGGACGAATCCTTGTGTAACTCTACTAAGCACCGGATAGAATTATAATATTCTTGATCAGCTTTGTCTTTAAAACTCCTGCCATAGATGTATTTCAAGAAATTTAGGAAAGTATCATGTAATTACAATGTGCCCCAGTTTGTAAATTAAGAATCTGTGAGACATATGGTCAAACCACCTGGGGAATTCGAGGTAGACCATGTCAGTTGGAATGAGGCCGTTTTTTGTCCACAGGTTGACATTCTGAATCATGGTGTTCACCACCTTTCAGTATAACAATTTAACAAAACTTATAATGATTATTTGGAGATCGTGACACTTATAATGTAGAACTGAATATATCGTTGATATAAATATGTAATAAGTGTTCCTTTCAACGCGGTCTTTGTTGCTAACCGGATGTTAGACAAGAATAAGTATACAAGAAGATGAAGAAAAAAAAAGTTAACTGAAAAAGATACGACAAAAACAAAAAGCAATTCTATTTAAAAAAAAGTCATGTAAAAACTTTATAACAAAAAAATATATAAACTTTTACCACTATTTTTAAAGAAACGTTTCAGTCCTTTACATAAAAAAAACTCGTTCTTTCTTGTCCCGAAGTTCAAAACGAAAGAGCCTCGCAAAAACCATGTCCGCTAGTCGTTCCCTTTTCGTCCGCTAGGGAGGCGTTGGTTGTCACGTGTTTGCGCCAAGATTTAAATGACTCGTTATAACACTAACTCGAAACAAAATAGATATACACATTAATTTTAATTAATTGGTTGTAGTAATTAATCTATTTACGGCTAATTTGTTTCCTTTGTTTCGATACCAAGACATGTCGGGATTAAGGGATATGAGCTAGCCGACAAGGCAGATGCACAAAACAATCCCATCATCTCAATTTTAATAAATCCTGAAGATATAAAGTCAGCTTTCAAACTTAAATTAGTTGAAAATTGGGAAATAAATGGAAACAAACCACTTCCATCAAACTAAGAAACATGAAAGAGACTGTTAAACATTGGGAAACATTCTTCCAAACTTCCAGGCGTGATGAGGTCGTATTATGTCGATTACAACACACGCACAAATGACCCACAAGCACCTCATGGAAAAATCTATACCACCAACATGCCTTTGTGGCGATAAATTAAATGTATTTCACATACTTGCGCCTCTTCCCTTTTGTCTGAGGTGGGTCATTACACCAAAATCCCCTGGACTATAAAGAAATGTTAGGGAATGAAATGAAAAAATTGTCCAATTTTTTGAAACTAAAAATGAGAAATCTCTTTAACCTTATATAAATTTTCATATTTACAGTAAACCACTCGTAGTGCAAAGGCGATAAGGTTTAATGTTGTTTGGTAGACTCCTCTTGAAGGTTAATATAGCCAAAGAGACTGTCTTTAATTTTAAACACGTATTTCTGTATATTGTATATTATAACTAAATAAAGACTAACAATAAATAAAATAATAATAACTCGACATGATCTGTTATTCTTTTTTTCTTCTGTCTTTTATAGCTCCTTATACCTACTTCTCACCTTCATTCATACTCAACTATGTTAATATCAAAAAAGTTTTATTAAAATTATTTCTTGCATTATATTTTGTAATCTTTTTGTTATTTAATTATTTTATAATTTTCTACTCACTGTACTATTGGGCATTTTATTTTTAATAAATAAATTTCTATTTTTATTTATTTTTATATTTTTTTATTTTGGTTGTTTATGTTCAAATTTTAGTTGTTTTATCGTTGTATAATTTTTTAATTAAAAGAAAAAACCTCTTTTTGTCTTGATAAATAAAAAAAAATCCATTCTTCAATCAGGAAATTTTTCTTGAGGACATGCGCCCCTTCCATAAGTTTATTCTTCATTTTCACTACAAAACATGAAATAAAGTAAAAAATTAATTTTGTAAAATTATCTGAATTATTTAAAACATTTAAAATTATAAAAGGTAATTAATTTAAACGATTGTTTTTAATTATTGTACGTTATCAGTTAAGTTGGTCAACTTGACGAGTTGTCGGCTCGGTGTTGTGCTTGGTTGAAGGATCGTTTTATTGCATTTGATTTTCATCCGCTGATCGGCTTTTCGTTATAACTATTTGGATTTCACCTCCTGTAACATGGTCGTCGAGGAAAAGTGAGCATTTGAACTTATTTTACAACTTAGAATAATTACTTGACCGTCACGAAGACTTTAAGTTGGCCGTTTCGTACTGTAAACAACGTGGTCCGGCTTTACCCTAACAGCGGACTCGGTATTCCGCTTTTTTCGAAATTGTTCAAAATATCTTGCAAAAATGACGTTGTTGGTTTAATTTTCGACGTTTTACTTATCAAATTCGACTTTATTATGGACATAATTATCTAAGAAAAGCGTAAAATCATAGTTTTTAAATAATGTCAAATACTACTTGGAAAACAAAAAAATCACTAACCTTCAAAAACTTTATTAAAATATTACTATGTAACTCTATTTGAACCTATTTTTATTAGCAAAAATTATATGAAAACAACAACATTACTTTGAATCAATTTTTCACGTCAGTTAATGTCTTAAACATTATGCTTGATAAAAATTGGAAATATTTTCATGTTTGGCTTTGTTTCTTACCAAAGGTTACTTAAACAAATTGTACTCTTAATTTTTTATTATTAACTCATTGTCGTTAGAATCGCCCTATGAGGGAGCGTTGCAGTGGATGATGTAGTTACATGCAGTTTGTTTATTATATAATATTTTTTACAAGGTTATTTCAACTACGAGGCTAGATTAACCTTTGGTGCTGGTGTTTTTTTAATTTTTTAAAGCCCATTGTAAGCATTTCGGGTTCGACCTGGGACGTTTACCTTACGGCATGAGCACCTGGTCAATGCCTTAACCGGCCACCAATGCCCAAGATTTACCATACATTTAAGAAATAGTAAACTTTTGATTTATAAAAAAAATTTTTTATTTAATACAACAAAAAGTGTTATATGTGCTATATACATGCTATGTATGATTAGTTTTTATTCTTTTTCCTGTTTTTTCTTTTCTTTTAATTTTATGTTTTATTAAATTAAATTAATTAATTAATTATTTTTTTTGATGATATTTCAACTATGTGGTAACACCCTGGCCGCAATACCAACATGTGGCGATTCTTTGGAAACCTCACAGTTAGGGCAGGGTATGCCAGAATGTTCCTGTTGTCATGGCGTGTTCCATTTTGGATGTTCAGACATAAAAATTAAGTAAAACTATCAACAGATGGACGTGAAAAATGGAAATGCGATGATTGTAAGGACCCCACACTTTTATTACAAAGACAAGTTGTAGATTTAGCTGAAAGAATGGAAAGACTAGAATGCATGAACAAACAAATGGTAGTGCAGGTACAGGGGATACAGGCTGCACTAGTACAACTGACATAAAATTTGACCCCCCCCCACAAATTAGCCGCAGGAAAAGAAGCTCCACAAGTCAGAATTCCAGTCGAAACTGAATTTTTTTTTCAACAATCCCACTTTAAAACCAAAAGATGCAGAGGTGAGGCTCACACAAGTCAAGCCCATTTTAAGGAGGTAATTGAGTTTTAAGTCCTGAATCTTTACAATTGTACTCCTGTGTGTCAGGAGGTGGGAAGGAAAGGGAAATCAGGTAATCGTGTGCATAAAGTTAATATTATTGGCAGTATTATCCCTATGATTTAGGGAAGTCGATAATGTAACATCAAAAATGGGAAGTCAGCAGAGGACACTGTAGGATAAAAATAAGGTTTTAAGTTTAGTAAGGAGAAAGGAATGATTTGTGGTTAAGGATGGTATCAAAGCTTTTAGGAAAATGGAGAAACATAAGAATGGAGATTTTACCTGGGTCATTACCAATGTGTATGGGTTCATTGTGATACTTAAATTAAATTAATAAATTTGTGTTAAGAAAATATATTTTGTTTAATTTATAACCATTGTTTTTGTGTTTTAGAAGTAGAGGGCGTGGGGCCAGGTCGAAGAGTACTGACAGTGAAGCTTCAGACAAAGAAAACAAAAAGGAGCGTGGTCGCGATAAGAAAAAGAAGGCTGATGATTCGTCATCAAGCAGTGGTAGCAGTAGTAGAAGGTAAATAACGTCAGGAACCGGGCCGTAAGAAATATAAAAACAAAAGCCCGGCGTCATTCAAAAGCGACTTGTTTCTGTCCAGGTAATGAAAGGGTGAAGCTGTTCCCATGCACCTGCGTTAGCGATGGTTAACCAGCATAATGAACTGGTAGGCGGCATGGTGCGTCAGCTCTAGATTAATCGACCAATACCATTTCTGGCACCAAACAGGATGGTGACCGGATCATTTATAATATGGTCGGGGATTTTCGTAACAAGCCGTCTTTCCTTTAAAAATGTTTTGATTATACTGTGTTTCAATTTGTACACATTCAGATTAAGTTGTAGATATTGTGTATATAATTTTTAATTTTATTTTTGAGGGTTTGCTTTTAACTAAAAGAAAGTTTTGAATAATTAACAGGGCTTATTTCAGTATCAATAATTAATCAGTCTGTCTATCAATTGAATGAAAAACTAAAACTGCTAAGTTATTTTAAACATTATCAGCATATAGTTGTGATAAAACAATATTTGAGAATACAAAGTAAACATATATGAATTTTCATTTTATTTTTTTAGAAAATAATTAGCCCTATAATTCAACAAAAATTCAAATCATGTGTTTTCTATATGTCTGCTTTTTAGCTCCTCCAGCAGTTCATCAAGCTATACGAGTGAGTCTTTCACTACGAGTTCGAGCTCAAGGTCTAGTTCAAGCTCGAGTTCATCAGGCTCTTCCAGCGATTCAACTACAGATCAGCCAAAGACCAAACAGAGAAAGTAGGTTAAATAAATCAACTAGTTATGTTTTTTACTGATTAAAAAATTTTTTTTTTTTTCAGATTGACAGATAAGGGGAAGAGCAGAAGCAGGAGCCCAGGTAAGAAGAAGGAAAAAGAAAAAACTGCTGAGAAGAAGGACAAGGTTGATAAGCCCAAGTCTAAGCCAACCCGCTCAAAGTATATCTTAAATCTTAAATATTAAGCTTGTTATTAATTTGAGCATTAAATAACTGTATTTTATTAATCTCAGGTCCCCTTCGCCCAAGAGGAAAAGAAAGGAGAGGCCACCGACACCAAAACCTCTCAGGATACATGTAGGTCGGCTGACCAGAAATGTGACCAAAGATCACATAATGGAGATCTTCTCTGTCTTCGGGACTGTCAAGATGGTTGATTACCCTCTCGACAGGCTCCATCCACCCGCTGGAAGGGGATTTGCTTACGTGGAGTTCCAAACACCGGAAATGGCAGAAAACGCCATGAAACACATGGATGGAGGTAATATATTCTAACAAAAACTATTCATAGATTATGATTAAAACGATATTTGTTTTTAGGACAAATTGATGGACAGGAGGTCACATGTGCTCCAGTGTTGCTTCCAGCTAGTGGTGGTCGCCGTCGATCACCCCCTGCCCCACCGAGAAGGCGCTGGGGCCGTTCTCCTCAACGTTTCAGAAGGCGGTCACCTCCTGGAGGGCCGCCACCAAGGCGGAGGTCACCGCTGCCTCCTCCATCACGAAGGCGACATTCTCCTCCAAGGAGGAGGGCAAGGTACACCAGGTCCTCGTCTAGCAGCTCTCGATAGCCGAGCTTGACGGGAGCTTGTAAATATTTTTAAGGTCTCTATTTCAGTGATTTTGGATATAAAAACGACGGCAAATTTTTGTAATTGAATCTAGATTGTAAGTTTATCAAGAAACGACAGTATATAACAAAAAAATAAATAAATGAATAAAGTAGTTTCTTTTTGTTTTTATCCAGGCAACCAATTAACCAAAACAATTGTAATACTCCATGTTTTCATTGGGAATTATTCTGTATGACTTTTTTTATTTACAGTTAAATAATACAGATTGTGAAGAATTATCAGTCAGAAGTTAAGAATTGTGTTTGAAGAAAATATACTTTTTGTATGAAATAGAGAAAAATATAAAAACCTTTACCTTAATAAATAAATAAATTCTGTTTTAATTAATAACTTGTTTTGTCTTTATTTTAATTTTATTATATTTATTATATTTTCTTCATTAATTTGTGCATACATATTGCTTAAGGGGACTGCGGTAGCTGAGTGGTTAAGGCGTCAGGTTCGATTCCCACCATCGCCTCTGGACTTATTTTCTGACACCTAAGGAGGAGATACTTGCCACAATTGGCAAAAAAAAAAATTGACATGGCACTAATCAATGGAAGGCCTGGGGTGGGATCAGATCTCAGCAACCCTGAATTTGGTCCCAACCCCCTTCAAAAATGACCGCTAATAAAGTCGGTTGCATTTTGCTCTATTTATATATTGAACAGAGCTTTAAAATTGTTTAGAAAAATGACACTTTTGAATTGTTTAAACTCTTTCTTTCATAATTCAGTCTTTTTTATCCATTAAAAAGAATTTTTATTCCTAATTCTTAAATTTCAGTTTTTTAACATTTAATCACAAAAGAGTACAAAAATAGTTCTTGGGGTAGTGGTAACTGAGTTGTTTAATTAGGCAGCTTATAAGTTCATTACTGACCACAGCTTTATAATCAGCATTTTCCATGGATTTTCCATATACCATCAAGGCATTTTAGCCTCATGCCATCTTCAGTGAGAAACTGTGTACTTTGTCTGTCTGAAACTTTTCGGTATATCGCCATTTTTATTGTTGGGTTAGTCATGTTTCTTGTATAATATCATGAAGAGATGGCCACTGAAAGTATGAAATTGGCTGACAATTAGCAGCAAAAATTGGAAGAATATGATGATCAGTGACAATCCAATAATAATACTCTAATTTATTGTTATCGTTGGCTATTTGCTTTGTGAATGTTTTTAATTATTGAACCCATACGAAAAATAGATTTATTTTCATTTAAGCATTTTGAAAGCTCTGATCAACTTTTTCTTCCACATCGTACAAGGGATTGAACAGACAAGTTTTTAACTGATCTCCCACATGATGACGAGGAAGTGGGTCATAACTTCAAAAGTGCTACATTGAAAATAAACTTATATACCATACGTATTCAATAATAACAACCATACACTAAAAAAATGCTATTGTAATAAAATAAAAAAATTAAAAAATCAGTTGTCCTTATCTTTGTATAAGAAATATATTGACATTAATAAATCCAATTGGCCAAACAACAGCACAACTTATCACATTTAATTTAAACTAACTGAGTCTAGTAAAACAATGTTAATTGATATTTTACATAATTTATAATTGTTAAATTCACTAATTCCGTGGTCCGCTTGATCAATTAATATATTACAATTAATTAAGGTTTTTCGTTGAGATAAAGTCAATGGCACGAGCGGGTTTCGAATTGTAAAATGGCAAAAAGGAGGGAAAATTCAAAAAGGTGCGGTTGAGATGGGAAGTTGGTGTCCGAGTGGATCGAGGTCACGATATCTCAAGTGGTAGAGCAGCGGGGTATCAAGCCGAAGATCGTGGGTTCGAATCCCGCTCATGCTTTTATCTCAACTAAAAACCTTAATTAATTATTTTATAATTATTGTTGTATACATACCTTTATGGTATGAAAGGAATGGTAAAGGAATGAGAAAATATTTAAACAATTCATTCAGTGATTTTTTAAATTTAGTTTAATATAAAACTTGAGCGGTAGTTAAACATAAATTTTATTTTGTTAACTAAAAGAATTATAAAAAAAAATATATTAAGGCACTTTTGCATTTTTACTGATGTACAGTACCATAGTACACCTTATGAATATGAATTTTGTAATCTGCACTAGGCTGGAAATGTTTGTACAGATCAAATTTTCACATCAGTCATTTTGGAGATTCAAAATTACCCTAGAAAAACCTTAAAAATAACTTATCACAAAATCACAGTCTTTAATACTTTTGAGGTCCAGAATAAGAATTGGTGCATCATTCTAGAACTCTTACAATATCCTCTACATAAGTCCAAAATGTAAAATAATAAAACATGTTGGAACTGGTTAAATATATTACAATTAAGATTCCTGAGTTCTTAAATAAAAACGACTTGATTTTAACTTTAAAGCGAACAAAAATATATAAATGATTAATTTTGATTGTCAACAAAATTTACATGAAACAATGATTGACAGAAATATATACAAAATACACATATATCCAACAGAGAGTAAATTTATTTCATGAACACCTGCTCGCTTAAAATTTAAAGTATATAATTCCATAAATATTAGTCCTTTTTATTATTTGGAATTTTTTAAAAACAACGCTACACCTGAGGAGGCGGTGGTGTTGTCGGTTTGTGCACTGGTATGATCAGTATGGGAAACTGCTTTTCCGATACGACTTCATATGGCGGTGGTGCGAATAGGTGATATGGTGGCGGTGGTGTCCTAGGTGTGCAGTCCAGGCCATCGCCAAATGTGCTGATGTACGGGCCAGGCAAGGCCTGCCGCCTGTAGAGGTGCTTGCTAGCACAGCACCACTCGGAGAAGGTGACGACGAGGAAAAATGCTATCAGTCCTCCAAATGCACCGAGGTACCATACAACTGACAAAGGATCTGGATCCTCTTCCGTCTCTTCAGGTTTATCCCCTTCCACTGGTTCTGAAACACAAAAATCAAAAATTTCAGATTTTTTAACCAGGAACTGTAAGGCGAATCTACAAGAAGCTTAGAAATGGCCAAATGCTTATTTTTATTTTTAATTTCATAAATTTTATTGAGTAAACCAAATCATCTATACAATATTTTCTGGGTTTAACTTCTTAAAGTCAATGGAGTACATTTCCACATTCACGCAAATAAATACATTCAATCTAAACATACACAAAATATATCCAGTACTATTTATAATCCATTTATGTTTAGTGGTCTGATTGACCATACTAATTATTTCAATTAATTATTCTTCTAATGTAAGGTCTTGGTTGAGATGAAAAAAAGTTAGTGTGCCTTTTTTCTCCAAAAATCAAAACGGGACTCAAATATTGCCGTGCTCTTGCTCAGACCAATTGATGTGATTTCTTGCGAAACTTAACCGCGCTGTTCTGTGCTTGGTCAGAAGTTCTGGACCAGTAGCAGGCCTTCTCGCAAGTAATCCAGTTTCTGAAAGTCCACCTTAAAGTGCGTAAAATGACATTAACATCTCTAATTTGTTGAATTGTTGCTTGATCCAACAGCGATAGAATTTTGATTACAGAGTATATTCGAAACAATAAAACGACCATCTCCCCGAGATGTGACGCGATGGAGACTTTATCCATGCCTTCTTGAGTAACCTACAGTATCTTGGTAGCGGTGGAAGACCCTTTGGGCAGTTATTCTAGGAACGTTAAGCACCCTGATCACATACGCTTGACTACTTCCATCTTCCAAGACTGCAATGATTCTAGCCGAATCTGTATCACATAAAGCCATCACTCCAAACAAATATGAACCTTAAAAACGGTAGAACTTTAAAAAAAAAAATCAAACAACCAGAACATGCTTTACTGTTGCTGCAGAAAGCTTTACAGAAAAACCAACAAAGATTTGATTAACTATTCAAAGTTTTATTTACAAACTCCAATTGTAAACAAAAGTGGGATATTTTAACTGGGTTTTATTTACCTGTAAACCTTTGGATCAAATATTGACCTAAGATCAACTATGGAGGATTGTCTAAGAAATAATTAAAATATTGAGGCTGGCCAATATTTTTGCCTCTTAATGAAATGAGACTTTTGCAAAAGATTTAAAAAAAAGTAAAGATAGTTTCAGGAAAATACAATATAGATTGAACAAATAGTAGATTAAACAAAGAAATACATTTTATATATTTATTTAATTGATGAAATTAAATACTGGGTGCATTAAGTAGGCTGATGGTGAGATAGAAAAATAAAAGAAATAATAAATATATAGTTTTTTACATGGCATGATACATAGATTGGGAAATTTTCAAAGATAAAAAAAATGGCAAGTACAAGAGATAAAACTACAAAGACACGTTTTTGGACAAAAATGTAATATAGATTGCACAAATATAAAGACAGAAAAACATTTGATGTACTTTTTTAATTTATGATCTTAGATATTAGGTCATAGATACAATAAATAGGCTGATGGTGGGACAGAAAGATGAAAGAAATATTAAATATATAATTTTTTACACGGCTTGATACGTGATTGGGAATTTTGAAAAAGTAAAAAAAAGCAAGTACAAAAGACAAAATTACAGACACGTTTTCGGACAAAAATGTAATACAGATTAAACAAATAGTAAGAGAAAGAAATATATTTGATGTACTTATTTAATTTATGATCTTATATATTAGGTCGTAGGTACAATGAATAGCCTGATGATGAGATAGAAAGATGAAAAGGGGGCGTCGGGGGCCGCAACGGTTTAGGCGTTGACGGTAAGGTGAAGGTCCCGGGTTCGAATCCAGCGTCCCTGCATTCGAATCCGATTTACAAATGGGCTTTTTTTCAAAAAGACCGGCAGCCTGCTATTGCAAACCCTCTTAAAAAAAAACATTTTTACACGGTTTGATACGTGTGTGCTGATAGATATATCTATAAACAATCCGATTGTAGGATAGAAAGATAAATATATGAAATATATGGTAAATGACGGGAGTTTAAGAAATTTGGGGTCGATTGAGTCAATTGACGTTGGCATCATTTAAATAACTATCCAGTTTGGTTTCGCTATCAGTCCGAATTCGTCAGCTAATAGCCATGGGATTTTTCCAAACGTCTCGCCGATTAATCTAATTAATCCGAGAACGTCCTCGCTCTTGACTGTCTGGTCAAAAGCTGGCAAAACAGCCCACCGGGTGTCAACGACTCGTCTTTCGGAAAAAAGACTTCGTACCATTAACCATGGATTTTATCTACTGATGATCCCGGCCCGCATGAACACAATGAGAACCTTGACGAGAAGGATGTTGTAGATTATTAACGCCGTTGTTCAAAGTTTAATTTTAGACGTCCAACCTTTAAATGACCATAGGACCAATTATATAATAATCGTACAATTCAAGCACGTCTCGATCTTCGACGTGTTAAAGGTTGTACAAACATGCAGTCAATTATTGCAGAGTAGTTTGAAAGTCGTCGCCCTAGATTTTTTTTTCAACGGTTCAATGTGATATATTGTTATCACTAATAATAAAATATAATGTTACGTAAGTATAGAAAATTCCACTAGTTGCACAACAGCCCCCCCCCCCAGAAAGACACGGGGACTGGTGTTACACAAACTTTCTGTTTGGATAGGTCTAATGCATACGAAGTCCCACTTATCTTATTGTTAAGTATTTTTAAAATAATTTTCAGTACATTGCAACTATCTTCGGTAACAAGTAACATTGGAAAGGAAACTATAATCAATAAAAACTAGATTGAAGAAACTACCCATCGGCAGTACTCCAATAATACTACAATCTTATCTATTTCATTTCGATTTGTGTAAATAATTTTTTTTATTTATAGAAACCGGCAATCAGCTTGGTCATAGCCTGATCTCAATATTTTATTTCTCTGCGTTTTCAAACTCTTTTATTCTTTGTAATCAATTTTCATCTTATCGTTCGAAATACTTGGGACACGTGTGCACCCTTCACATATAAGCACGTACCAACAATTACATTCATTAATTCATTCACTCACACCAATGACATCACATGCACTGTTCTATATACATAAAGAATCACGCTAATAAATACACGCATTCGTCTTCACACATAATTTACTATAGTTAAAAACAGGCAGGGGGCGACTGGGGTACTTAATGCCGATGACTACTCCTCTCATTCATTCTAGAAGACCTAGATAACAGACCGTCAACGTACTTGGATATACTGTCGATCGGCCTGTTCCCATTAAGTCATTGTTATTGTCAGTGAAAAGGGGTTCCTGCGTCTTCTCTTTAGTCGGCGAGGAGGACTTGAAGAAATTTGTCGGGAAGAGAGTTTCTGGATTTGAGGGTTTATGGTGTTTGGGAAGGTATTATAGAATTTGTGGTAACGTAAGCGGATTACAACTTGGACAAAAGGAATATTTAGGTGTCTATGAGTTTTAGGGATAGGGACAGGGATGGGATATAAAAGGCGGCCACAAGGCCTACTGCACCTCGACCTGAATAGATCTATTGTGCTCCCCTGTTATTTATAACTCACTCGCCAGCTACAGGTTATCAGCCTCCATAACTTTGCCAGCGGTTCCTTAGTGTAGGATCTTGTTGTGGTTTTTCTTGTCCTAGTCGTAAGAACCTGCACCTACGTAGACCTTCACAGAAACATAGAATGTGTTTTGCGGTCTCCTCCTCTTCCTGGCAGTATATGCACAGTGTTACTTCTGTTTGTACTCCTATCCGGTGCATGTGCCTTCTTATGTGGCAGTGCTCTGACAGGTGTCAAACCAGAATCTTGGTTCGGTTGCAGTTGCTTTCCAGTAATTCTTTTGTAAGTTTTGCAGATGACCCTTCTATGAATCCTTCGCGTGCCTCATACCTGTGGTATTGTTCCACCAGGTTTTGGACTCATTAAGAATCCATTTTAAGATGTATCCTCTTTTGTGGCAGGATGCTTAGTCACAGTAGGGTTCAGGATCCAGAGAGTCCATGTTGAACCCCTTTTTGGCCAACATGTCAACCTTTTCGTTGCCTCTATGCCCCGAGTAACAAGGGACCCTTACCAGGGCCAGGTCTCTGGTTTTTACTGGATACATAAAACAGTACATCGATAATTTTTCTGAGAATTATAGATTGGGCAATTTGGATACGAGGTATGTTCGAAGATTTGGCTGAACCCTACCACTTCCGGCTCATAAGTCCATATCGGCTTTATTAAGGTGTTATAAAGGAGGCTTTTATTTATAAGAGATAAGTCAGATGTCTTATCGATAAGTCGTGAAAGAGCTCAGAATCGTGATAAAACTTTTGACGTTCTAGTTGTTTGTGGGGATCTCACGTCAAACTCTTCTCTTTGTACTAGGCACGTTGACCTCAGTTGGGAGGGTGATATTATTGATGTAAACTGGAGGAGAGATCTTTTTGAGTATGAAGGTTATGTCGGTGGATTTTTCTGGGTTAACTTTTATTATTTTCTTTTCACATCAAGACTCCAGTAGGTGAGATGTACCGTTTACAATTGTCAGAGTGGGTTGGACCGTCAGCTGTGTACACCCGGTAAAGTTTGGGGCCAGAATATTACCCTGAGGAACACCAGCCGTCAATAACTCGGAAAAACCGCACAGTGAGATAGCTGTGAAGTTGGAGAGAAGTATGCTTTTTGAGGTTTATTATCAAGAAAAAGTGCCAGAAAGAATATATTTTATAGTTTGTTTGTTCATTCTGCAAATTTATTGTAAAATGTATATACAATTGCATTATTTGGAGTCCAGGCTTTCCAAAAGATATATTCTTTATCATTTGCCTTTTTGTGTACGGTAAAAGTTAACAGAAGACAAAAAAAAAAGCAATTATTTCAACTAAAACTTTACAAAAAATTTAAATATGTGTGAAAAAGCTAAAAGCGATAGTTTTAATTAATCGTGACGATATCCTCTTATGGCGGAGTGCTCAATTTGAAAAACCTTGTTTATCAATTACAAATAAAAACAATAACAAATTACAAAATGCAGGCTCTTGAATGGCTGGGATCTACTGCGAAACTTATTCTTACCTCAGTTCTAAAAATGAAAATTTGTTTTGTCGCCAAAGACAAATTATCTTGAGAGCAAAATGTCATCATTTTACTTATAATTAAAAATTGGTAAACGTAGTAAATGAAAATATAATTTTTGTCCTTATAAAACATCTACAGGAAGCAGAAAAAAAGAAAAACGTCGCAGCTTTGCTACTTTATTCATTATTAAATTCACTAATTTCGTGGTCCGCTTGACCAATTAATACATTACAATTAATTAAGGATTTTAGTTGAGATGAAAAAAAGTTAATGGCACGAGCGGGATACTCATAAGGTGGGGTTGAGTATCAAGCCGAAGGTCGTGGGTTCGTATCCCGCTCGTGCCATTAACTTTTTTTCATCTCAACTAAAAACCTTAATTAATTGTAATTTATTCATTATATTTAGTCTTTTTACTTTTTTTTGGAGTTTTCCAATTTGACGACACAATGATGTCAGTCAAACGATATCCAACATTATAAAAGTAGAAATAAGACCGGAACAAGACCTTACAGCTATTCTGGTTTGGGGTATTATTGAGTATGTGGGTATTATACAGTTTCAAAGCTTTCGGTACTAAATTTGGCCTTCCTCAGGGCACAAATTCTCGTCTTATGTCGTAGAAAGGTTGTACCCTGAGGAAGGCCAAATATAATGCCGAAAGCTTGGCAATCGTATACTACAGTGTACAGTGAATCATTTGGGACAACATGGTAATAATATCCCAAACCAGAGTTAATGAAAGTTGGTCGATACCGAAACAATCTCGTAAATTGCTGGGTCATCGATATGCCTTAAATGAAAAATTATTGTAATTAACTGCTAATTTTTATTTGTAGATATTTGGACCCAAAACCTCATAGCTAATTTGTTTCGGAATCCGTCTAGTAAAAAATCTTTCGATTAATTAAGGTTTTTAGTTGAGATAAAAAGTCAGTGTCACTAGCGGGATTCAAACCCACGATCTTCGGCTAGATACGCCGCTGCTCCACCGCTTGAGCTATCGTGACCTCGATCCACTCGGACACGAACTTCCCATCTCAACCCCACCTTTTGAATTTTCCCTCCTTTTGCCATTTTTCGAAAATTCAAAAGGTGGGGTTGAGATGGGAAGTTAGTGTCCGAGGTCTCGATAGCTCAAGTGGTAGAGCAGCGGCGAATCTAGCCGAAGATCGTGGGTTCGAATCCCGCTCGTAAACTGACTTTTTTATCTCAACTAAAAACCTTAATTAATCGAAAGATATTAATTGGTCAAGCGGACCACGAAAACTAGTGAATTATTTATTATTTACAAATCAGAGCAAATAAGATGAACGTTACGAACGATCCGCACTTTGGCTGGGGGTGATAAATCATTTACTGTTTATTTTGCTATAAAGCATTTGTTTGTTGTTTATGTTAAAATTCAATAACAAACAATATTTTAAAAATTATTTGTCCGACGGGGCTTATTTTTAAGGAAAGGATTTAAGTCAATCGGTTGCCGCGATTATTTGTTTAAATTTTATTTTTAAAATAACAATAAATTTTTAATGACAGTAGGTTTGAGGTAAGGCCTTACTTCCGTTAGAGATCAAACCGAGGATATTATATCGGGCAAGGTCCGGAGGAATTGGAGTCAACCTTCGTTTCTACATAAACGAGGACTTTCTTCCGAATCCTTCCAGGGCGTTCCTAGTTCGCTCCCGGTTGGCCCTTGAACCCAAGCGTTTTTTTAATTTTTTTTTCTTTAATTATTCATCGTACGCAGAGTGCGACCTTGTGTTTCTGCGCAGCAATTTTGAGAAACAATGGGCAGCCTGTGCTTCGTGAAAAGCCGAGAAGCGTCGATTCGTCCGCGAAGCAGGGACAAACGAGTTTCAAAATTACCTTGTTTACTAGAAGCGTCTGTCCCTTTCACCGCCACTCTCTCGATTCGAATTTTATAAAAGTCACATGTCTCATGAATTATGCAAAAGACGGTCGTGGTTTGAATCGACGAGGATAGTGTGACACAATCGTATTATTATTTAAAAAAATCACATTCTCCACGATCGTGAAAATATCAGAAATATATATTCGTATAAGCAAGTATAACACACTAACACACACGTTTTTTCTTGTGACTTACTTACATACATATGAAAGTAGGGCAACCGGCAGTACATGATTATTGGGAGAGCTGAACGGACAAGTAGACGACTCTACAGACTCTACAGTTTAAGTTTCCATTTTCGAATGGAGTTGATTGAAATAGCGTAAGGTTCCAGAAATCCTTATCTCTTAAGCCACTTTAGTATTCACTAAACTTCTACTGAATTAATGTGTGGTGTTCAGTGACCGTTGGTTTATAATTATTTGGAGATCGTGAGTTGCGGTCTGGTGTGACGTAGTTTATAACATTTATGAAAGGTATTGATAAAAAAGACAGTGTCACGAGCGGGATTCGAGCCCACGACCTTCGGCTAAATACGCCGCCGCTCTACCACATGAGCTATCGTGACTTCGATCCGCTCGGACAGCAACTTCCCATCTCAACCTCATCTTTCAAATTTTCCCTCCTTTTTGCCATTTTTCAAATTAATTGAAAAATGTTAATTGGTCAATCGGACCACGAACTGTAATGGATTTAATAATTAAACTGAAGTAGATCTTCACGAAAGCTCTCCGTGGCCATTTCATTTGTCGCCGAGAATCAAATAGATTACACGACATTTGAAAAATGGCAAAAAGGAGTAAAAATTCAAAAGGTGGGGTTGAGATGGGAAGTTAGTGTCCGAGTGGATCGAGGTCACGATAACTCATGTGGTAGAGCAGCGGCGAATCTAGCCGAAGATCGTGGGTTCGAATCCCGCTCGTGACACTGACGTTTTTATCTCAACCAATACCTTTCATAAATATTAATTAATTGAAAAATGTTAATTGATCAATCGGACCACGAACTGTAATGAATTTAGTAGTTTATAAAAACATTTTTTCGTTTCGATCTTTGTTGAGATCACCTTTAGGGCCTGGGATTTATAAACATTGTTTAAATTATACAAATACATGTAGGATGTTAAACAAGTAATCTATACAATGCTAGAAATTGTATGTCTGAATCGAAGTATTTGTACTCAAAGTGTTTGTTTTCTGGGTAGATGTGTCATTATTGTGTGTCGTGTTGAGAGTGCCAGTGAGATATTGATGTTTTAGCTGGATTCTGAAGGGGTAGAGAAGGAAGTAGGGACAGAAAATCATTTTTCATATGAGGAGTCGCCTTCTTTGAGGTGAAAGAAGCCGACAATGGGAAAGAATGGGTAATGGTTCGGCCTGTTTATCCTTTCAGGATTATATAGACTAGATAATTAAGGAAATGAAAGCCAAATTGTTGAAGAATTAGACTATGTAGAAATGTTTGATGTGTGGAATGTAATGATTGTTGTATATATTATATGTTTTGCGTGATGTGATTTATTTATTTTTAACGAGGGTTTGCAACAACATAGGTCATATAAACCCTCAGGGTGCCGGTGTTTTTGAAAAAAAGTTCATTTGTCGGCCGCTGCATTCGAACCCGGGACCTTCACCTTACAATGATGAGCGCCGTGTCAACGCCTAAACCGTTGCGGCCACCGATGCCCCCTGTGTGATGTGATGATACATGTATGTTATCTATATTGAATTTGATTAATGATATTGGCGTAGGTGCGACTGAGTTTACATGTGTCTGTTCTGTAATTGATGCTGTGTTTATCTCTGTTGATATAAACCATTTCTAAAGAGACGTATATGTTTGTTTTGTTCTGTGTGTAATATTTTCGGATTTTTGAAGTCGAAATTGTATTTGTGTTCAAAATGCGCGTAGCCAGTGCTGTAAGATTTTTTTGTGTATTTTGCAATCATAGATATGTTGCTTTACTCTCTTCTTAGCCAAATATTGGGATGTAATACCGATTCAAGTTGCCGGAAAGTTCAAACAATTGATTGTGTAAATTACGTCAGATTTTTTGGTACTGGTGTGGGATCTTCCATTTTGTAAAAAAATTGGTTAAATTAATACATGTTTTGCCTTAATTCCCTATTATTTTAATATTTTATTCGTTCTGGACGAAGCGTTCTGTAGTTTTGAGGAAAATATCATGAAATTTGGTCGTTCATGATCATTTTTTGTTTGCCTAAGTTTTTTCGTCGATCAAAGAAATTGAAATGCTCAATATTATTTAGTACATGAGTAAAAACATATATTACGGCACGACATTTTCATAAAAAATATTAATAATGTTTGTGATATTCATAGTTACATCACAGATTCTTAAATTTATAAATATATATTACATAAGCTTTATCTTAAGTTAAATATAGAAAAATAAATATTAATGGGATTTTTACATGATTACATATATTTTTAATAATAAATAATATATATTCACCTGTTATAAACGTTGTGGATGGAACCGTCATATTTTTGGCCAAGAAGTTTTCAACCATGACTATGTACCACCTACTCCCCGACTGCTTATTCGTATCTTCCAGTTCGTCTGAAACACGAAAAGAAAAATGATCGAATTAAAAATAAACTTTGTCATCTCGCGTTGATGGGGTTACGTCTTTTTTTCTCAAGGGAGTAAACAAGTTTTGAATAATCTTTTCTTTATTTTTTCAAAATCCAAGGACAGATTTGTACGATTTCTGGGGGGACATATTTTGGCGCGCTATGAACGAACTGTAATGGGCTAGAAAACACCTGCGACCAATTTGCTACAATTTGTTAGATTAAAAACAATTGACCTCCCATTGACTTCAAATCGTTACATAAACAAAATATACTATTTATCCATGTGCGTCGTTTAAGTTTAAACATCGTCAAAGTTGTGTTGTTTACCCGATGGTACTGTTTGCGTAATTATTTCTGTGCGTGTTATTTGTGAGAACTCAGGGTAATATGTAACCAAGTCGAAACAAATCCTAGGCTTTCAGCATTAATTATATGACATCACGGATAATGATTTTGATGAAGGATATCTTAAATCATCGTCCGGTTGGTTGAAGGAAGTCATGTGAGTGATTGAGGGAACGAGTTAATGAGTGAGCAGTCTGAAGGAGTACTTGAGTGAACTAGTCGTTAAGTGACATATTGTTTGTGTGAGTAAATGTGTGAGATCATTGATTGATTCAGCGGGTTCAGTGTGTAATTCAGCGAAAGAGAGATTATGGAACGAATAACCAAAAGTGTGACAGAGTAAAATGAATGAATGCGTGAGCGATCGCGGGAATGCATGGTTGAGTCTTCGACTGAAATCAATCATTAGTGATTAGGAATGTCAGTTGAACGAGGAGTTAATTAATAATTGCGTGGGCATTTAAAGATTCCACAACTTTGATAAAGGGAATGAACAGTGACAATATGAATATGATATGAGCTGAATGATTGAGTGCAAGACCATGTGAATGTGAGGTTGAGTGAACCAGTGAATGGAGGGGTCATTTGAATAGTGAGATTTTTGTGATGGGACTCCAGGATCGCTTCGGTTTCCTTAACCTCGCTGGTTTAATCTGTTTCGTCTAATTCAAAGGGTATAGGCACCATTGAAGATAGGCAAACCAAAATGATCGGTTACGATCAAATTCAATTACCATTTGCAAGATTAAATGAGTTGGATTATGTACTAAGTAGGTCTTATTTTCTTCTTAGGGGTTTCTTCCACTACGACCAAAAAGATCTGTTGCAGAATTGACCCTTCTTTATTTTCATGCGTGAAGAACCAGAAAGTATACTATATTTAAGATGGTTGAGCATTTTCCGAGTTTCTTCTCTGTTTACCTTCCTAGGCGATAGTGTCACCTTTCTAGTAGCTATACCAGCTTTGTAAATCTCAACCCTTTTCTAAATGTCATCTATTATCCTAATTTTCATAAAGCCAGAAAACGGTGTAGATATTCTGTTTCTAATGTTCATAATCATTTCTTTAATGAACTGAGGCTTTGAGAGGAGAGTACCGTATCTATCATTCATAGCCCATCTTTATAGATATCTGTAGGTCAACCATCGGGCACATAAGCACCGCTGCAAACATAAATTCGCAAACATTAGCAGATGGAAAATGGACAACAAGAGGGGTGTCTTTCTTGACGTTAATTCCTTTGATCTCGCTTTGTCCGACTGCACGAAGGAAACAGGGTGTGAAGCAGAGGCAACCGTACTTCCTCACCATGGCCCTGAATTCCAGCTTGTTGTATGTGACCATCGAGGTTTGTACTTCGAAGAGGAGCTTGTCTCTAAAGAGATCCACACGTCACAATAGGGCAATTGGTCTCTGAGGCTTTGAGAAAATGTGAGCACCGGTAGAGCCCATCTTTGGGGACATCCGCAGTTTAGGTCACCTCCAACGGCAAACGTACCCTGATGTTCCAAAATTGACCAATGGACTTGGATGAACTCACCAATAAGGTGGCCATTCACGATCGCTCCTAGCAGTTCAAACGGAACGACGCCGTTCCAAAAAACACGTCAGTGGTAAAACTGAACTGGCGTGCCCGGCTGTGCCGAATATTCGGCCGGTCCAAACTCCATCGCGCCACTCCATATATCTATGGCGAGACGACGGCATAGCGCGTTCCTGAATGGGAAAACCTGGCGTGAAGGTGGAATATTGGAGCGCTGGCTTGGTCGTGAATGGGAAAACCTGCTTTTTTTTTGGCGCAGTCTGCGTCTTTCTGTCACTGAGCAAACATCTCCGTCGTACATTCTCAAAAAGTCAAAAACTTTATTCTTTATTGGTAATGACATCCAATCGAGATTTTATTGGTGCCCCCTCAAGTTTCAGGCACTCCAAATGGTTCCATTTGGAGTGATCGTGAATGGCCACCGGTTCCTGTCAAAGAGTGCGACTTACGTCTATTATTTTAGTCATCTCGTGTATGACACCATCAGGGTTATCTGATTTCGTTTTCCCCGAAATTGGAGGTGTCTAAAGCCTTCAGGGATGCTTGGCAGCCTGAGGAAATATTTGTGCACCCCTTAATCGCTTTTTATGTTCATCTGATATTGATTGAAGGAATGAGGGAGTGGCCATGTGAGTGTGAAGGAATGAATCATAATGTGAATGGAGTAACAGTGCGACGATTGAATGAAATGAGTGGATTAATGACTCGAACTTTCTGTGAGGTTTGATGTCGTCCCATTAACGGTCCTTTGTACAGTTTTTGCCCAGAAATTGCCCCAAATAAGGGCAGAGTCACGCGACCCTCCCGGGATAATTCTCTCATGACGGCGATTTTATCAGAAATAAGGAGGTAGGCTTTGCATATTTTATGCGATTTGGGACAGAAAATCCCGTTTCCGTCCGTGACCCAACGGGACCGGTCGCTCCGGTCCGGGGCATAGCAGCACCGCCGTAAAAGTGCAAACGGCGGATGTTGATCTTTTACGTTTTTCTTTCAAAGCTTATTTTTAGCTGTTAAGGCAATTTTTTCGCACTCGCGTTAAACACAAGGCCAACAAATCCAAGGTGCTTTCGTAATCAAATTATCACCTACTAAATGATAATTACACATTTTTTGTTTCCTTCCCACGTAATTTAAATCCCAATTTACTCACTACTTTATTTGGACGTCATAAAAACCTTTATTGAAAAATTGTTTTACGATCTGTTGACATTTTTACGCCATAGTTGACCGGTCTGTGTGGGCCGTGCGACCTGTCACGTTTACGAATCTTTTGAAATTAGGTCTAGCAATGCACGTAACTACAGTTCGTTAAAAACATTTGCACGCTTACACATAAAATATGCAATAAAACATAAACCAAACATTGTACTTATTTTTTTTAATACTTCATCGTTTATTTAGAAGGTTATCTTAGAGGTAGGCTTTGTACGAAATTATGGCCATTCGAATCGCACATTTTCTTATTTTTTAAAAAAGAAATAAAAGTCACCCGGACCGAACGGCCTTGGCTGCTTTGCAAAAGCCTACGTCGGACTTGACGAGGCCCGTATCACGTAGGACCGCCCTGGTATGGCCGATCCGCGGCCGAAGCCCCCGGGGAATGAATCAGACCTCGTTCCAAATCGTCAGACAATTACGTTACGTGATTTGGTCGACTACTTTTATTCAGGCTGGACATAGGAAGTTTTTCTTTCTTTATGGACTTTGTACGAACAAAATAATAATCCAAAAGTGTTAATTGTTTAAAGGATAACTCCCCTTGAAAAATATAACGTTTAATCTTTTCTAAACAACTCGAATATCACTATTAATAATAACCCGGCTATTCTTTTGTTCCCGTATTATTCTCTTTTATAATAAATCAAATATACTGCAATCTTATGTATTTTGTACAAAAATCGAATTGAATATGTACATATTTATAATAGTACAAATTGACAATGCAATTGGATAAAAACTAGCGTTTTGGGAGGTTCCAAGGATAATGATGATAAATTTTGAAGATTTTTTCTTTAGTCGGAAAAAAAGAATAATGAATATAATGAACTTTTATGACAGGATATGAATAATAGTTTGGTTTGACAATTTGCCAGACTTGACCAAAAAGAAACAAAAATGGAATGAATGAAAAAATGGAAGTTCATAAATTATTCAACATTCACGTTTGAGTAAATTTTCGAAAATTGTACAATAGTAATTCCCGTTTAACGAACACGTTTTGGGCCATACGACGATTATTTGGCAGCAAGACTGTTTATAAACTAGTCCTGTTTAAGAGACAGCTTTTTTATTTTTAAAAATTTGCTTTCAAAACTCAGTATTTTAATGTAAAATAAGTGAGGAAATAATATAAACACAGGCGTCATTTTTCTCATCCAGTTTCCCTCCCTCACTCTTCTTTTTTTATCGCACTCACTCACATTTCATATTTCTCTCTTTCACTCTTTCTCTCTCTCTCTCTCTCTCTCTCTCTCTCTCTCTCTCTCTCTCTCTCATTCAAACTTTTCCCCCATTCTCCCCTCAATCACTCTCTCACTCTCTCACTCAAACTTTTCCCGCATTTTCCCCTCAATCACTCTCTCACTCTCTCTCTCTCTCTCTCTCTCACTTTCACTCTCTCTCTCAAACTTTTCCCGCATTCTCCCCTCAATCACTCTCTCACTCAAACTTTTCCCGCATTTTCCACTCAATTACTCTCTCACTCTCTCTCTCTCTCACTCAAACTTTTCCCGCATTCTCCCCTCAATCACTCTCTCACTCTCTCTCACTCTCTCACTCAAACTTTTCCCGCATTCTCCCCTCAATCACTCTCTCACTCACTCTCTCTCTCTCTACTCTCACTCTCTCATGCATTCATGAATAAATATAATATTTTGTATATAACTGTCTCATTCTTGGTGTCTTTTCGGGAATTATACTGTTTTATGACACCTAAAACAATACCGTTAAAATTGTTTATAAATGATTCCCGATCGCTGATTAAGTTTTGTCAAACAAAACTACAAAATTTAATAGTTATGAACCTATAATATATGAATTAGTATTATGTTGTACTTCCTCTGAATCATAATCTTCTTCGTCATTTCGCTCT